TTTTTTATTATTATTTCTTAATAATGGTATCAGGACAGCTGTATCACCCTGACATTTCTGACTATGCCTCCAGAATAAATTTTTATTCAGAAATGAAAACATGCTCATTAGAGAAGAGTTTTTTTGAAGTCACTATGTATGAACTGCATTTTTTATGTATTTTTTAATAAATCAATAGATGCAGACAAAAATAAGGAGTCAATTCATTGACCAATTATCTTCCTTAAATCACTGGCACAGCACTGTTAAAGTAAGCTAACAGCAACAACACAGCACAGGGGTGACATTTAACCGATCGATTATATTCTGTAACAGCCATGACAGAAAATGGAAATACACATGAGCATAATACACAATGGATGGGGCAGGGTGTGGTACCTGTGTGGGCTTGTTGAAGGGAAGGCTTTGAGGGGGGTGATGTGCCAAAATGTGACGGTACACTGGCATTTCCAAAGGAATCAAAGTTTGCAAAGTCTGTGGTGGCATTATTTTGTGCTACAGATGGCACAGGGTGAACAAATACATTAATGAACAGGACTGATGAGGCAAATTAAGTGACAGTGTGAAATCATGAGCTGACTGACATCACGTACAAATTGTGTACATGATGACATGTCAAGCAGTGACATTTAAAGGGATTGTTCGCTTTTTTGATTGTTCTTCATTTACCCACCCTCATATCACATTTGAACTCAAAACAACATTGGATCCCGTAAACGTTCATCATATGGACAAAACCCCCCCATTTTTTTTGTGTTACACAGAAGCAAGCAAGCCATTCAGGTTTGGAACAACATGAGGGTGAAGCAAATGATGACAATTTTCATTTTTTGGTGAACTATCCCTTTAAGTGAACGACAAAAAGCAACACATGATTAATAGTGGTGAAACAATTAAAGGAACTTGTGACCAGCCACAGCATCTAAATGTTCTCTTCACCTTATACATAAACCTATACACCTTATACAAAAATTTTAATGGTTACCTGAGGGCCTGTTAAAATGTGCAAAATTAGCAAAGTTTGAGGAGCTGGCAGTTTGAGCTTGGGGGGCAGCAAAAATATCTCCACCCAAGTCAGAGAGGAGGTCAAACTTCTTCTCCTGGCCTGCAGGCTGGGCCTGAACATGACTGGTCACCGGGGACTGAGAGAGAAACGTGGGGTAGTCATGAAAAGAAAAACAGGGCATAACCTGGTTTTGCGGAGAAGAACTAGCTGTTTTGTGGCTCCAAATGAAAGTACAAACGTAAAGGTGGTTGTGTGTAGTTACCTGGTTGGATGGAGTCTTGGTAAGATGTAGGGTTTTGAGGGGCTGGGGAAGAACCTCTGGGGTGCTACTGGTA